TGTGCCATAGGTTTGCCATCACGGCCCTATACCATTCCAGACAAATGGTGGTTCAAAGTCTTCTTGAAAACCTCCAGTGTTGGAGCAGCCACGATTTCTGGAGGGAAGCGGTTGCATCGATTTTGATTGTTGTAAATTTCAGGAAATTTCTCCTTAGTTCCAGATTGGGTTCTCTCTTTAATGACCTTCTACCTGTTAGTTCTTGTCCTGCCTTCTGGTGCTTTGGAGGTCGACTCCCTACGGATGTCCCCCACCAGTTCCAATTTCTGGACACATTTCCAGGTGTTCTTCAAACATAGCTGGTAAGAGAAGCGGAAACAAGTTGTAAACAAGATGTGGATAAATCTTGTCTCGGAATTAGCTTGAGGAGTGACTCCTGCCAGCACCTGTGTGAAGATGTTAAGCAGCATCAGGACAAGAGAGACCCCGGGGTCCCCAGCGTAGGACAGTCCCTCCTTCTCTTGATTTGAAAGAGAGCAAGAGCCAGCCTCACTGCAAGGAGCCAGAGTCTATCCAGTGATTTTCAACCTTGGCAACTGAATTAGAATTAGAATAGAGCTGGAAGGGACCTTGGAGATCTTCTAGTCCATCCCTCTGCTCAAGCAGGAGAACCTAAAACATTTCAGACAAGTGGCTGTCCAGTCTCTTTTTAAAAAGCTCCAGTGATGGAGCACCCACGGTTTCTGGTGGCAAGTTGTTCCACTGGTTAATTGTCCTCACTGTTAGGAAGTTTCTCCTTAATTGCTTCTCTCCTTGATTACTTTCCAATCATTGTTTCTTGTCCTGCCTTCAGCTGCTTTGGTAAATAAATTGACCCCCTCCTCTTTGGGGCAGCCCCTCAAATCCTGGAATCCTACTCTCACGTCTCCCCTAACTCTTCTTTTCTTTAGACCAGCCAGACCCAAATCCTGCAGCTGTTCTTCGTCTGTTTTAGTCTCCAGGCTTTTGATCCTCTTAGTTTCTCTTCAACTCCCAGAATTCCCCAGCTAGGCATGGGGAATTTCACAGCAGTTAGGCAAATGCTACGGTTGTTAAGTGAGCCTTGTGGTCATTAAACGAACACCGTGGTTGTTAAACAAGTCCATTTTCCCCAATAGGCATTTTAACTGGAAACCAGAAGGAATTGCTAGAAACTGGCAAAAGACATAGAAAGCCTCAGTCACGTGGGATGCTGTAATTGGTCATAAATGACTCTGTGTGTGTGTGTGTGTGTGTGTGTGTGTGTGTGTGTGTGTGTGTATGGCTGTCAAAACTTCAAAAACAGGTCGAGTTGCTCCGGGGAGGTCCATCGTAAATTCAAATGGTTGCTAAGCAACCAGTCATTAGGCGAGGACCACCTGTATTTGGTTTGCCTTAAGGGTTCAGAGCTGCGTGGAATCTGGTTTCCTTTCACCGCCCCCAGAGGGGTCTTTGGTTCCTGGTTCTTATTCCTTGAATTTTTCTCCCCATCTGATCCGCTTCCTCCAGATTCCTCTGGCCTCCCTCCCTGCCCTTGAAAGCCTCACCAAACAGGAAACCTGGTGCGATATATTTACACAACATATTGTCCTAGCTCAGAGGCGATAATGAGTGGTGTTTGGCCAAGGAGGTTGCCATAACCACACCACAGAATCCACTGTTGAGACCCCCCCTCCCCCCATGCCTGGGTGAAAATTCAGCCTCGCTTAAGAGCCGGCAGGTGTGCAGGTGAAGGGATGGGCAAGGACTGGGACTACGGTGCCCATATTGTGCTCGATCCTGTATTGTTTGTGTGATGATTTTTAAAAATGCAGGGAAATTTTGATTAGATCAGGAGTCTCCAACCTTGGCAACTTGAAGACTCGTGGGCTTCAACTCCCAGAATTCCCTAGCCAGCTTTGCTTTGCTGCCTGAGGAATTCTGGGAGTTGGTCCACAAGTTGCCAAGGTTGGCGACCCCTGTTTTAGATGGTCCTATAAACTGAACAGAAGCAGTCCTTGACTTACAGCCATTCGTTTAGCAACTGTCCAAAGTTACAATAGTACTGAAAAAAGTAACTCATGACCAGTCCTCACACTTACGACAATTGCAGCATCTCCCTGGTCAGGTGATCACAATTTGGTTGCTAGGCAACTGGCATGGATTTAACATGTTTGCAGCCTCACCCGAGGTCCAGGATTCGTCCCAGACTGCAAAGTCAGCGAGAGAAGCTGGATTCGCTTTTTACAATTGGGCGATTCACTTAACAACTGCAGCCATTCACTTAGCAGCCATGGCAAAACGGGGGTAAAATCAGGGGCGGCTCACTTAATGACTGCCTCGCTTAGCAATGGAAATTCTGCACCCAATTGTGGTCGTATGTTGAGTTTATGCACTGCTCAAACAACTAAAGGGAACACAAAACTACTGTATGTAACGAACAAAGTATTTAATAAGGCTATTTCATTCATTCAGACCTCCGGTGTCTTCTGCTTGTCTCCCCTTTATTTTTTTGAGCAGTGTAGATCCATTGGTCAGAAACGAATTTTAGCTTCAGCCGAGTGGTGGGTTCTCAACCTAGTCTTCAAGACTTATATTGATTTTTTAAGTATATATATTTACATTTACATTTTTATTTCTATTCTTTCTTATTCTTATAAATAACTTAGGGGAGTGAAAATATCAACAGACCTTCCTCCTCCTATTTTCCTCACAACAACCCTGTGAGGTAGGCAGGGCCGAAAGTCACCCAGTTGGCTTTCAAGGTTAAGGCGGGACTGGAACTCCCAGTCTCCTGCTTTCTAGCCTGGTGCTTTAACCATTAGACCAAACTTTGCCCCTTAGCAGTTTTCAACCACACAATGATAGTTGTTTCCTCCCAAAAGTAGGCTTAAGAAAACAGAGCGTAAGAAGAGATGGCTCTTTTCTACCACTCCCCGCTGCACAAACCTACCAGCTGCATTTTAGCCTCAGGGGTTGTGTGCAAATGAAAGGCCTGTGTTTAGTTTGTGCATTGCGTTGTTGTCCCAAACCAGTAAATCTGGCTAATCCATGAGGCTGTGATTAGGTGAACCATGGATAAATATGGTTTTTATGAACCCAGCCAATAAATTGCATCTTAAACTGCTTGACTCCCACCCAAGCTTTAGATTCTTAATTGGTTTCACCACACCAAGGACAGGAAGCGGTTGTGAAGCCTGTTGTGTCCTTGTTAGTTTTTGCTTACTGGATATTGCTATTAGGTTGCTATTATGTTAAAGCGTCTGTTTGCTTCCTAAATACTCACCCACTAGTGCAGGGGTCTCCAACCTTGGCAACTTTAAGCCTGGCGGACTTCAACTGGCTGGAGAATTCTGGGAGTTGAAGTCCGCCAGGCTTAAAGTTGCCAAGGTTGGAGACCCCTGCACTAATGCAGCCTTTCTCAACCTGGTGACTTTAAGATGGGTGGGCTGGGGAAAAGCTGGCTGGGGAATTCTGGGAGTTGAAGTCCACCCTCTTAAAGTCACCAAGGTTGAGTAACAGCTGCGTTCCTGGGATAAACTGAACAAACAATTCAATCTCTATACATCATTGTCAGCCAACCTCAGTCACAACCTCACAGAATGGGGAGAGGGCAGCTTAAGACTCTCCAGGGCAGCCTGTTTATCTTGACGTCGTAGTTTTCAGGAAAAATGCCTCACAACAAACTATCCCCCTGATCCCAATCCCAGGATTAGGAGATCAAAACTTCCGATCAGACCTTGAGAAGGTCAATTAGTTTATCCCTGCGGGGAAAATCTGGCTCACATGCCCCACTAATACTGGGGGTTGGACTAGATGACCTACAAGGTCCCTTCCAGTTCTGTTAATCTGTTAAATATTTCCTCTTTCCTTACCGACCCCCACATCCGGATTTCTCCCTAACGTAGTGAGGCCCACCCGAAGCCAGGGAATAGCAGCATTTGCAGAACAGATCAGAATAACAGTGTGGGAAGGGACCTCAGAGGTCTTCTAGTCCAACTCCCTGCTCAAACAGGACAACCTATACAGATAATCCCCTATTTACAACCACAGGTCATTCCAAAATTTCTGTTGCTAAGTGAGACAGTTGTCAAGTGAATTTTGCTCCATTTTACAACCTTTCTTGCCAGAGTTGTTAAGCGAATCGCTGCAGTTGTTAAATTAGTCACATGGTTTTGTTTTGTTTTTAATTTGATTTATATGCCGCCCTTCTCCGGAGACTCAGGGTGGCTTACAATGCGCTAAGCAATATGGTTGTTAAGTGACTCTGGCTTCCCCATTGACTTGGCTTGGCAGGAGGTTGCAAAAGGGGATCATGTGACCTGGGACAATGCAACCGTCATAAGTACATGCCAGTTGCCAAGCATTTGAATTCTGATCATGGGGATGCAGCAAAGAACATGGGTGTGGAAAACTGTCATGTCACTTTTTTCAAAGCCATTGAGTCTTTGAACAGTCACTAAACAAATGGTTTATAAACCGAGGACTATCTGTAATTGTGGACCAGGATAAAAATATATATCCTGACCAGGATAGGTTCAAGTGGGCTGGGTGATTTGGGACCCTTGGGTTGGGGGAAGGAAGGCCATCCTTCTTTTGGTAGATATGACAAACCATCATAGTATTTCTCGGAAGCTTGCTTGCCATATAGTTTAGGATAGAGTTAGGATTTAAAAAAAAAGCTGTAGAGGTGAGCAAGGATACCTTGCTATGCCTTTTGCTCCTGACTAACTTATCTCTGATTTATTTTCCTTCTGTGTCTTTTTTTTTTAAAAAAATCCTTAAAAAGAGATGAGGTTCAAAAGCCATTGCATTGTCCAACGAAGAGAAAGTTATTATTTTTTCCCCCGCCCGCCCACTCACCTCCTCCGCTTTCCTGAACGAACGAACCATAAAACTAACCGGCCGCCAGGAGGAGGCGGGAGGAGCAGGAGGGGGCGGGAGCGGCCGAGGGAAGAGCGGGCGCTGGGAACTTCGCGGCGGAGACAATGGAAGCGCCGGAGGGAGGCGCGCGGAGCCCTGGGAACAGCCGCGCCGAGTCCGCAGGTTCGAATCCTCCCCGTTCACACGCCGGAGCAGCGGGAGGAAGGGGGGGGGAGGCTTGCGCTGGATTCGGCCCCTTTCCAAGGCGAGGAGCAGCCCAGCGCCGCTTCGGCCCCTTTTCCCAACCTCTGAGTCGGATCCCCCCCCCTTCCTTTTTGCAATTGCACGGAAAGCGGAAGGAGCCGCCCGGGAGGGAGAGCGCGGGGATTCCGCGGCTGGGGCCGGCCGGGCAGGCAGAGGACAAAAGCCGGAGGAGCCGTCTCGCCCCGAGGGTAATCCGGCCCCAGCGCCTTTTGTTCGGGCTCCTTGCAGCCGTTGCAAGCGGGGCGGCCGGGAAGGCGTGGTTGCAACGGCCGGGCATTGCAAGGGAGCCGCCGCGGGGGTGGGGGGGGGCATGGGAGGGTCTCCCCGGAGAGGGAGCCGTCTGGCCCCGCGGAGGCTGCCTGGGGGTCCCGGGGCTTGCTAGGAGGGGCCAGACCCTGCGACCCCCGCCCCGTCCTGGCCTGCAAAGACGGGAAGCGGCCCCGGGCCCGGAGGGGTCTCCCTGCCTGGCTCTGCCCTGCCCAGCCCAGGAGAGACCCCGGGCTCGGAAGCTGGGGGGGGGGGGTCTAAGCGGTAGGTCCCGTTTGGCCCCTTGGCGTCAGGAGCCTGTTGCAAAGCAGCTCGGGCGGGGGGCGGGGGGGCTGCCCGGGGCCTGGCACGGCCTTAGAAGGCGGGCTGGGGGGGAATCCGGGGTTTGCACGTGTGAACGGGCTGCAATGCAACCTGGGTGGATTGCAACCGTCCTGGGTTGGGTTAGCAGCCGCTCGGGCCAAAGGCTTGGGGTGATGCCAGGGAGTGGGGGGGGGGGTTGCTGGAGGCTCTTCCTCCGCGGAACTGTTGCTGCTGCTCCGTCCTGCGTGGGCTCTTCCACGGACAACAAGCCAGGCTTTGCATTCACCCCGCCCCCCCTCCAAGGAGCTAAAATGGCTGGGATCGCGCCAAGCCGGAGTCACCCCAACTTGGTGCAATGCGTGAGCTCAGCTGTTGCATGCCTGGCCCCTGCCGCCTTGCCTCCCCCCCCCCGGGCATCGCCGGGTGGCCTACCTCCCAGGGTTGCTGTTTTGCATTTTTTCCCTTTTTAAAAAAGAGGGGGGGCGATCCTGGGGAGCAGTGGCCGGTGGGGACCTCGAGGGCTGAAATTGCAAGCAGCAGCTGGGAGGTGTGTGTGTGGGGGGGGGACGACAGGGGCTTTAGGAAGGGTGAGGCAGATTTGTGGGTCCCTTTGAGTGAACTTCGGGTCTGAACAGGCTGGGAAATTGTAGGAGTCCACTTTGGGGGAGAAGAACCCTGATTCTGGGCCTGTTCATCCCACTAGCTCATCCCCTCTGCTTTCTGCCCTGCTCAGGATGAAGAAAAGGGGAGCTGGTGAGAACTGGGGGTTCAAGGCCTTTGAAGGGAGTGTTAGCCTTGATTTGTGCAAACCTCTTCATCCCAGTGACATTCTGGCTTAGTGCAAAGTGGGAATGCAGGGCACAGTCTGGTTCCTGTGAATAAACCATGGTTTGTTGCATTCATCCCAGTGTCTGGCTTCCCCCAGCATTTTAAATCATCAAGATTGCAACCTGTGGTGTTCAGTATATTGGGAGGGGGCGTAAACCTGACCCCCCCTCCTTATCAGATCTATTTGGGGGGTGGGAGGAACTTGTGTCTTGGCTGTGAATGGGGCAATCTTTTTTTCTGGGCAAAGATCCCCCCCCATTGTGTGTGTGGTTGGCTCTTTTGCACCCCCCACCCCCTGCAAGAATGGGGAGGGTGCAGGGATCCTCTGGCTGTGTGAGGAACCAACCCCCCCCCTTGGAAGGGCGGATGGGTCTGGGTGTGAAGCTTGTAAGGGGGTGTAACCAGCCCGTCTTTCTAGCAGGGTGTGCAAAGGCCTTTTGGGGTGGGGTCTTTTTCTCCCCAGTTGGAGGGTCTGGAGAGAATGAAGGTCTGCCAGCAGGTCCTTAGTTAGAGCTATTGCAATGGGATGGGAGGGGGCAGAGGAAGAGGAGGGGGCTGCAGAGAACCTCAAGGGAGAGTGGTGGTGGCAGCAAATCTCAACTGCTTAGCAAAAGCTGCTGTTTTTTGTTTCTGGAATGGAGGTGAGGGTTGTCTGAAACCTGGAATCTGGCCTGGGCCAAGGCAGGGGTGAGAAACCCCCCATTTCTGGGGCGATTGGCACTTCTGGGGTGCACCAAGCTGTTCCTTCCTTCCGGTTGGGGCAGATTCAGACTTTTTGTGAATTGCAACATGTTGTTGGAATTGCAAAGGCGAAGGACTTAATTTTTATTTAAGTGGAAACATTTGCAGAGTCCATTTTGTGATTCGGCCTTGTGTCCTGTTCCAGGCGGATGGGAGACCCGGCCAGCTCTTCCTAGCCAGGCTCCTGGCCTCCAAGAAGTCAGTTTAACTCTGGTGTGTGGAATAAACCATCGTTGGCTAGGTTCACGCAGCAGGCTGAGCTCAGATAAACCGCATTTTGGCTTTGGCGTGTTTTTGCTTTGGGAAATTCATACGACTGCAAATATAAAATTATTTCCCTTTTTGTTTTTGCCACTGATTGCTAGGCTACAGCTCCCTCCTGCCTCAGGGCCAGGCTGGGGCTGAAAAGCTGGGAGGAAGAGCTGAATAGAGAATTTCTCATGCTTTAAAATGCATTTAACTCGCTTTTCATTGTTGAAAAAATGCTAAATGTTGTGTGTGGGGGAGGGAGGGAGGGAGGCAGAAGCTGGGAAAGCCCCCTTTGTGAGCTGTGGGAAGCTGCTGGGATCAGGCAAGCCTTCCATTTCTGGCTTTGCCCCCTTTGCAAGAAAGGGGGAGAAAATCGGGGTACCGGATGGGGATGCTCCATGGGGCTGGAAGCATTGGCGTTCGTTATTGCTCAGAAGGTAGCTGGGTTTGGGGGTGCAAGGGCTAGGAATTGGGGAGTAGCTTTGCAGCAGGGAGAAGGAAAAGCCTCGCATGATGGACTGCCTTTTCAGGGGATGTCACCCCTTTCCCCAGCCTTCTCCACCCGGAATCCTTCGAACTCAGCACTGCCTGGAGCAAGGTTGCCAGCTGGATTTCTTAAAAAAGCAAAAATCGCAACAAATCAGTTTTAAACTGAATTATTTTTACCTATTTATTGACTTTAAAAAAAAAAAAGATTAACAGAGATGGAAGGGACCCTGGAAGGGTCTAACCCCCCGCCCAAGCAGGATGTTGCATGTACCTACAATATATTGCATAGATAATTAATAAAAATATATAGGTATAGATAATTCTTGATCACAATTGGGAAGGAAAATTCTGCTGCTTAAGAGCTGCTGTGGTTAAGTGAGCTGGGCCTGATTTTACCTCCCTTTTTGGCCACGGTGGTTAAGCGGTTCACATGGTCCTTAAGTGAATCTGGCTGACTCCCCCACTGACTTGGCTTGTCAGAAAGGCTGCAAATGGGGGAAATCTCCTAATTCCAGGGATGCTGCAGCCGTCGTCAGTTGCATGCCAGTTGCCAAGCGCCTGAATTTTGTTCACGCGAGGGTGAGGTTGCTGTTTAGGTTAGGTTTAGGTTTATTTGATTTGTATACCGCCCTACTCCCGAAGGACTCAGGGCGGTGAACAGCCAACGATAAAATACATAAATACACAAAATTTAAAAACCCGATAAAATCAAATTAAATTATTTGGCCCAGACAAATTAAAATGCCCCAATAATTTAAAAACAGATTAAAATTTACGTATTTAAAAAGGGAGGAGATTAGGCCAAGCCCGCTTGATGGAATAAAAAGGTTTTCACAGCACGGCGGAAGGAGCGCAGATCCGGGATCCTCCGTATCTCCGGGGGGAGCTCATTCCAGATGGTAGGTACCCCCACAGAGAAGGCTCTCCCCCTAGGGGCCGCCAGTCGACACTGTTTGGCTGACGGCACCCAGAGGAGTCCCTCTCTATGAGAGCGTACTGGCCGGTGGGAGGCTATTGGTGGTAGTAGGCGGTCCCGTAAATAACCAGGCCCTAAGCCATGGAGCGCTTTAAAGGTGGTAACCAGAACCTTGAAGCGCACCCGGAAGACCACCGGGAGCCAGTGCAGCTCGCGCAGGAGAGGTGTTACATGGGAGCGCCATGTCGCTCCCATTACCACCCGCGCGGCCGCACTCTGCGCCAGTTGGAGCCTCCGGGTGCTCCTCAAGGGGAGCCCCATGTAGAGAGCATTACAATAGTCCAGGCGGGAGGTGACGAGGGCATGAGTGACCGTGCGTAACGAGTCCCGATCCAGAAAGGGACGCAACTGGCGAATCAGGCGGACCTGATAAAAAATCCTCCCGGTCACGGCCGTCAAGTGCTCTTGTGATGTCGCTGTGCTCTTGTGATGAGCACTGTGAAGTGCTCGCTGTGATGGTCGTAGTGCAAGGACCTGTGGCAAGTCACCTTTTTCAGTGTTGTCGTAACTTTGAATAATTGCCAAACCAATGGTTGTAAGCCGAGGACTACCCGTATAGAAAAACTTTAATGAAATTTTAAAGTTGACAACTTAGAAACCCAGACAAAAAGAACAATTCAGATGGGGTTTAAAAACCCAGCACGGAGAATCCTGATCCGGGGGGCAACTGAGGTTGGAGGACGGAGATATAAATTGTGATCCTGGCAGGAAGCAGGAAGTGTAAGATGAGCCGGACCTGACAGGAAAGTCCTCCTCAGTTTCACCCATTACGTTGAGCAGAGATTCTAGAAGGGGAAGGCATTTCTGCAGGCTTTTGGTTGTAATTTTAAGGGTGTGAGTGTGTCAGAAAAGAAGGAAGGAAGGAAGGAAGGAAGGAAAAGAAAGAGCGAGAGAAAGAAAGAAAGAAAAGAAAGACAGTGGAGGAATACAGGTACTCCTTGACTTAAAAGCACAATTGGGATTGGAAAATTCGTTGCTAAGTGAGACATCACATGACCACAACTTGTGACCTTGTCTGCTGCTGTCCCCATTGGTTTTGCTTGTCGGAAGGCAACTGCGAAGCTCACAAGTGTCAGTTGTGTGACCATCGTAGATGTGAGCTGCTTGCCAGGAGCCCAGATCGCAATCGTGACCATGGGGATACTGCCACAGTCATAAGTGTTGCAAGTCACTTTTTTCAGTGCTGCCATAACGGTTGCTAAACGAACGGTCATATGTCGAGGACTGCCTGTATGCTGGTTGGCATTAATTAGGGCATCTTTCGGAAACTTGACACTGGTATTGATCTTCCCAGAAAATGCCCTGGACGTATCGTTGAGGTCGCCAGGAATCCAG